CTGTATTAAGAGAATTGTGTTATCGTCAATAATTTATTCAAATACTCATTTCATTTTCCCGCATATCAATCTGAACAACCAGGCATCCTAGGGAGGAAAAGAAAAGGACTGTGTCACTTCAGTTCGACATAAATGATTACATAATGAAAATGTATTTTAAAAGCAAAATTCTAAATGACAGGAATCGCATTTCCTTTTTATCAGATACTTTCGCTGATGTTTTCATTGGTCCAATCTGGCACAGAATTACATTAAAAACGATGGAATAAGTTGCATTTCTGGAAACTAAAATTGTAGAATTCTGCTAAAATCATTTGAGAAAGTGGTACCTAAGCAACCTTACATTTTGTTGTACCATATCTCATTGGCTAGGAGAAGAATCAAACGTAAAACTCCGTTTCAATTGTTGCACTAACAACACATCTCACCTGTCTCAAAGTGTGAAGAATCGTTTCCGATTTATTTTTGTCATATTTTTTTCACCCACATTTTACTTTGACTGTTTGGTTTGTCGAGATGTTGAGAGAACCCCCTGGTTAATGTGAAAGGAACATGAGACTTTTTCATTCACTGTTTTGTCAAGGATTTGACAATTACGATAAAGTTATATGAAATAAATATATAGCAAGTTGTCTATAACATCTATATTTTAAAATATAATTTACAAACTCATTCAAGGATCCAATTACACCTTTAATAACTTCAAACAGGAGAGTTCTTAACGTCTCAATGTCGTCAAATCATTTACTGAAATCAGACACTGATTCAAATGTAATAAACACGAAACGAAAGATTTCTTTTCAGCCGATTTAAATCAAATTACAAGTATATGGAGTATTTTTGAGAAACGTCAGTTGATGTGATGCTTGGATCTCGTTGCAATGGCGCCCCCTGCCGGTTAGAGTAATAGTAATTGCCACCCTTTTGTCATCGTTTAGTTTAAATAATTCGCTACTATCGCCATCAACATTTCCCGACAGTAGGCCTTGCCAAGTCTGTCAAAACTTATTAAAAATATGGTTTTTGCAATAGTAAACCAAATCATTGGGCATGAATATCATTTCAAATCGTACAAATGACACACAAGAAATCTTTCGCTTCGGTTGTTTTCGGACTGCGGCTCACTAGGGTATCCGATTTCCACTAAGAAAGTATCTGTGATAGTTCATTATATTTCTTGTTAAAAACCCGCCCTATTCTCGTATCCAACATTTCGAACAAAAAGCTAAGAAAACTGACAATATGACAATGCCTCCATTAAAATATGAATACAACATATATTATCTTTTTCTTTCTTTTTACAAAAAATTTAGCAGCTGCTGTCACAAAGCGTGAAAAACGGCACCATGGGTGATTTCTATTTTCAAATTTTGGTCATTCGTTGATTTAGAAATTCAACAGGCGAAATGTTTTATTTAAAATTTGAGATTTTGAAACGTGTTAAGTTATGATTGTATGAAAATCGCTATGTATACGACGTGTAAGCTACGCGGCCCCTACTGTTCAAAACGTAGCAGGAGTTATTCCTTGATAGCCCCTAATCCATTCCCCCATTGTGATCTTTACCCCCATTTGTCACTTTAAGTATTAAAATCTTGACAAGAGAATAATTGTTCTATTTCGTTTTTTATCATTTATTTCTTGAAATATATTTTATGTCAAAATATTTTTGAGGACAATGAGGTTGAAGGGCAATTGTCAAAAAGAGAAAATGGCTACATCTAATTGCGAATTCGGAGTAATGAATAATATAATAATTGTGTTTCTAATAGACATAAAATAGCTAATAGGATCTGTCCCGTTTCTCATATATATCCCACAATCAAATCTGCAGCCCAGCAGGGTCAATTTTTAACACGTGATTTTATTGGATTGGATTCCATTATCAATAAACTTGCTTTCTAATTCGTTTTTATTCGGATTGACAAATTGGTAAATGCAGTTCTCAATGAAATAGATTGATGTCATTTCTCAGGACTCCCATTGCTTGGTTCCCGCCAAAAGTATGTCACCATATTTGGGAACTTTCATTTGCTGAAACACGTAATACAATACACATAATGTATGTAGAAACATTCGTAATGGTGTGCGTTTTGTTTTTTCTATTACGTAAATGAAGAAATCACAAGTTTGCATTAGCGTGAGCAATAAACCGTCTATTGAAACAGAACAATTGGATGTAAAACTCCATTGCGTTTCATTTAACTTAAGCCTGCGTATAAGGCCACCTTCCAATTCCACTCTTTAACTTGTTGTCGCCGTTTGCTATCCAATTTCCACGTCCTGGGCAACCCATTACAATAGTTACAATAGTTATGAAGACCATTAGAATGCCTTTTTCAATAATCAATCAACGATATCAATTCTATATGGCTCTGAATGTCAGCTCGAAATTAATCGTCACATACTTCGACCACTTGGCTTCCTGCAAAACCGGCTACATTAAAAATAGAGAAGTACTTGAGGCGAAATAAAACGAAATAATTCAATAGTTGATGGTCAACAGAATAGAGAAATAGTATCGACATTTCAATCAAATTCTGTCTCTTTACTGGCAAACAATCATTTGAATAGATCCACTTCACTTCTGCTATCATTGTTACTAGCAGACGTAGAAATTCTCAATTGGAAAAGAAACGAAACGAAGCCTTGTTTATTACTGATTAGTTTTCACGTTACAGTAATCATAAAATACAGGCTACAATAAATACATTGATCGCCAAGAAATTATGGAAACAAAACGAAAACATGAAAATCGAAATATATGCTGCTACAGGAAAAAAGTATCACAAAACGAAATCCTGCTGAAAAAAATCAATTATTTTCTCTTTAGAAGATAAAAGAAGAATATTATACCTGGTTGCGTTCAAAGGTGGGCTTCTTTTTACTTTAATTCAATAATCCGAAACGCAAGTTAAAAGAGAAATATGTTTTCTGAAAGCATTTTTAGAATGCATTCGCCAAGTAGACTAATATAATGAAATAATAAAATAAGACGTGGACGAGATGCCGTGGGCTATCTACCTAAATCAACAAAATGAAAGCCGGTCTCTCTTTTCAAAACAAAAAATCTGAGATTGCAGAAGTAGAAAGTGTTTTTGAGAGATCTTGTCGTTGAGGATTAGTTTTCAATGAATTAATTCTCGTACAAAGAATTCCTATTTTAATTCAAAGAAAGGGCGATAATGAAAAATACTGCCATCAAAATACATTGAATAAAAAATAAATAAAACGAAAGTTTTTCAACACGAGATGCCTATTCTTTGCGCACATTGTCCCTTTCTATCCTATAATATTATGAATAAACGCGTGTTCTGTTCAACAAAAATAAACACTGTTTGAGAAAAAACTACTAAGAAACATATTTCTAGGTAAACAAATCGAACGCACTTAACATTTTGGCCTGAAGAGTCTGAAGGGACGTATTTGATTGCGGTGACACTTAACATCCCGGGTATCTAATGGCCGTATTTGATTCTGACGTTACCTTCTATAAGGCTGAATTGTTTGGTAAATATTTTTCATGTTATAATCACATTTTAAGGGCCAAAAGTGTATTAAGTTTGAATTTTGAAGGATGTTTTGTGAACATAAAAAAGATGAAATGGGGTCGAGGGTTAGTTTTGTTATTTATTGCTTTTAAAGACTTAGTGACCGAAATAAAAAAATTTTAAATATTCACAAATAAATTTGTTTCCAGCATTTGAAAGTGGTTTGTACTTGCAATCTTGCAATAATTATCTTTAACTGGGGTGATTTGGATGCGTTTTGAAGTCAAAGCGAGTCGAAGGTTTAATTAAGTGGATTGCAGCCTTTAATGAATGAATTAGTGGTGCGTCATAAATCATTAATGCACCCAAATACACCCGAAACATAGATAATTCCCTTCATTAATTAATGTGAAGTTGGCAGTTAATTTTACTTTTTTCTCCCGCTCTTGACAGAGGTCGTATCGGGTTTGATGAAGGGTCTGGTGTGAGACGCAGTTATTTTGTCCAGAAATTTTTTAAAATTCAAAGTGTTTATTAGTTTTCCTTAGGTTTCTACTTTAATGGCATGGTCTTGAGAATGGGTAAGCAGTGTGGAATTCAAAAAAATTTTGAAAATTTAAAAAAAATCTTGGCAGGCGAGGACCAATCAAATAAGATAATAGCCGACTCATTTCCTTTAAAGGGCTGATAAATCCTAATCTATTTTTGGGGTAAATCTGTAATAGGGGTTAATCTACGGGGTGTGAACACAGGCATCTCTTTGATAAAATATATCGTGTTATCTTCCTTTAAAGAGAATAAATTATTTGTATATTTTGAAAGCCAGCTTTGTTCATCGATGTATAAAACTCGCCACATATTCAGGAATCTTAGAGTTTAAATGAAAATGTGATGGCTGAAGCTGATTTGAGTAACTTCATGCAGTGTGTAATGAGGGAAATTTTCTGGAGGCATTAGCCTACTTATGATCGATTTAGTTATCAGATCAGTGAGCAACTCACCGATTTCTATCGAATAAAATATTGTCAGATTTTGTATTTGATATAAATATTTATACCGCCGATATTATTTCGGGCACCTTGGTATAAATAAGACCGGACAGAACTTCCTGGCGAAGTTAGAGTTAAAAACAGTATTAAATTTCAAAGACGAACTTGAAATAAAGCAAATTTATCATTGTTGCTATGATCGAATCAATGGCCGACTTATATCTCGTTTTATCATAACAACTTACAGATAACAGATTAAATTCTTATTATTTGAATAATGTAATCCTTGAAGATTTGGATTTATTTTTGAAGATTTAAACTCGTTTTATTATTATTGCACAAATAAATACTAATTGAATTGAACTTTACAGCACTTAGAAATATATAGTCTAGCTTCGTTACCTAGGAGAGCGCCTTTTATGGGAATTCTATTCAAATGTCACTTTATTTTTTGAATTTCAAATATAGGCCACTTAAGTGACAACTTTGCATGATTTCGGATATTTTGAAAGTGCACAAAATGTCGGTGCCATCAGGTTTTCAAAAAAGGTAATGTCTATTTCCCTATCGTCAATGCATGACTCCACTATCTCATAGCTCTGTTCGTATTTTTCAACATGCTCAATCAATAATCAATTTTATCTTTTATGATTGAATCACTGTGATTTGTTCACTATATTAATTTTAGGTTAGGTTCAGAAGCGGTGAAGCAGGTTTTGCTTTACTCGAAGAAAGAGGATAAGCCTAAAGCATAACAAGTTAGGCTCCCTATATTTAGTCTTTCAGAACATCTGTTGCCACTATGCATTATGGTTTGACGATTCGTAAGCGCCTATATTATAGGCTGATTTGTAATTCCCCTCGTGACAAGAACATATTATTGAACATTGTAAAGAGTAGGCCTACTGCTACCTTATAGATAGTAGCAAACTTTCTGCAGCTGACGGAAAAACTTGCGATAAGGAACAGTCATAAATTAGATAAACTGTTTATAAATCGTTATTAGTTGATAGATATTCGATAAGAACAAGGGCAATAACTCAGTATTTAATATTGTGAAATGATAATTAAACAAGAGTTAAAAATATCAACATTACAGCGACGTCTTTATTGTCGCGCTAATCTGTATGGCAGTGGGAAAATCAAAATTGTAGAATCTTTTATTGGCTGCTGTTAATAGACTGAAACGAAAATATTTCATGAACAGAGTTTATCTAGCTAATTAGGGTACTTTACGATTGTTTGGAAATTAGGTGGGTAATAGAAGCACCCAAATGGACATGTTTATGTTTGTATTAAGTAATGTGTAAGGATGTTAATGTAGCCGCCAGGGGGCGAGCAAGTGAAAAATAAACCACTCATCACATGATCTGACACTCAATTAACCAACGCGGAGTGATTTCTCATTAGCCAATTTACACCCTAGGCAACCGAGATAATGGGTTCTTCATAGTTCCGTAATTTGCGAAATAAAATCAGAATTCCCGAAACCAATTGTTTTGTATTGATCTTCAATTTGACCGTTTCTTCTACAAATCGACGCCATTTCTTTCAATAAATTTACAGTTCAATTGTGATTCCTTAATATGGTGGTTCTTTTAAATGACGACCTCCAGAGCCAACCTTTCTCATCCCATCTCACAAGTGGCGGCGCCAGCCTCTCGATACGGGGGTAAAAATAGGGAGCTGGCTGACTAATTTTGGTGAGTTTGCGATATCAGCATCCGCTGGAAGCGAACGTTAACTTGTCATCTACCTACCTACCTACTAATTTGGGTCTGGGGCGACTTTCGGGGTTGAGATTTAACAATGCTGCATCTCCGTGGTCCGTGGAGGAGCATGATTGCATCCCTTCCCTTCCATGGAACGTCTGAGAAGATTTTAGAAATTTTGTTTCATTCTGTAGGCCCTATTGGCTCCTCACCTCTTCACCTTATGTCGCTATACATCTATTATCCAGTACCTTTCTAAAAATGGGTGTTAATGCTGACGTGAGTTTTGATATTGATAAAGTTATATAACATTGTAATATCGATTAAAACTCGAATGAAATATTATTGGTTATAAAGGAAATGGTACAAAAGAGATAAAGAAAATATAATAGTTCTGTCTATTTTTATAAATGGTTTACCTTTTTTGATTGATTTCCTTGATTTTCTTTCCTGTTTTGAACCCATGAAGGACTTAAGCGTTAGGCGTCCCTATTAAAGCATGCACTGAAATCAAACGGTGATTCTTCAATTTTTATGTCTTTGTAAACATTCTGTCCCTTAACTGTTACAAAATGGGAATTTAACGCTTGTTAAAGCTATTAGGAATATATCTGAACCCTGGTTAATCCTGAATCCCTTTAGAGGTTTCATCACAAAAAATATGTACATTTTACTAAATTCCCATCCAACCCTGATACTCTTTTGAAACTAAAAGTGTCGGTTACGGCCTATGTCATTGCTGTAAAAAAAGTTAGTAGAAAAACACTCATATTAGTAAGAATGGTTATAAAAAAATACAATAATCGGAGATAAACTAAGTGAATTAGGAACTTTTTTTGAAGATAAAATTAATTTTTCTTTCACTGATAAACGTTTTACGTCCAAATTTTGACTAATCACTAGTTAATCAATGACCATTTATTGGCGAGACTACTCGCCCTAATGCCACTTGAATCTCAAAACGATGGCGGCTAATTCTCTTGTGTCAATTTTCGCTGAGATAAGAGTCCATAATCCTATTCGGTATCTCCAAACTCTTTATTTGTTCCTGCCAATTTGTCAGAAACAGTCGGTGGTTTTCGATCCCAAACAATGAAAATGTTATCTAATTGTTTGAAAACATTATTCAAGACGACCAGATGTTTAAAAACCCCAGTTTTCACAACTGAATATTTCTTAAATAGATCCCATTTCATCCTGATTAGTTAGCTCCTACGGTTTTTCTTTCGTTTCGGGATATTAATTTGTATTTTGATTGTTCCCAGGTCAATTCGCACAATTTCAACAACTCCTCATCTCTTATTACCAAACGTCAAAATCCCGAGAGGGTAAATTTCCTTAACTTGTCAACAAAAGAGGCCAATTTGGCCAAAAGGCAACTATTCGTTTCGTTTTATTTTCTCAATTTTAATTCGTTAGAGGGATTAATGAAGACGGCATATTTTACCGCTTCTAATCTTTGTATTGTCACAGCGATATGAAAAGAACATAACAGTCGCTCTCAATCAATTTCATTAAACTGTACTTTATTTTTCCCAATTAATTATATAAGCGACCTGCCATATTTGTCACGTGAACTGTCATGGCGTTTGTTTCCCGCGTAAATATGTAACTAAGGAAATGACGATTTTATCTGTAACTTTGTGTTTAATTACAGGTAGAGGATATAATATTATGATTACCTCTCACCAATCAATTAAATCAGGATCCGTCTACTCGACTTAATGAATATCTTTCGTTAAATTATTCAACGAAAAATAAAATAGTTGATTTTTGTACGGAGCAATTTCAAGGTCGACCATGAATTTGATAATTTTAGTATTTTTGTTACCTTAAGATCGTTAAGCTTGTTAACGATTTGATTGATTGATCATTTGAGAATTAAACTAATGACATTAGATGTTGGAAGGCTCAGCCAGACATGGCCGCAAGACCGTATTTTGATTTTGAAGAGTATTTTCAGGGTGTGATCTGTTGACCTTCAAAATTTAAAACCAAGGTTATTATTACGCCATATATACTCCTCTGGAGAAGTAATATGCAGGTGGTTTTCAGAATCTAAATGGCATGATGAAAATTTATATTCCTAATCTAGGTCTATGCCTTAACACTGTAAAATGTATGACACTCTATGGAAACAAGATACAAACATTCACAAATTTAACATTTGAAAGTATGAAAGGGTGCAAGAACAAGAAAAATATTTCCAATTTGGAGAACAAATAGGCAACAATGGAAAACAAAAGTAGGGCTATGGAAAAGGAATTGCAGTGAAAATATTTCTTTTGAAAATATTATGTTTGGTCTTAAGAAATCTTGAAGATTGTTGTGGTTATATTGAGCTATTTGTTCAGGTTAAGATATAACCAAAGAAAGTATGAGTTTATAAAACACAGTCAATATCTGGTTTATCTAACCTTTTACAGCTCTAATTATTCCTGTTATATTTAAACAAATATAGGTAAATAACAGGTAAGTATTTGGGGCTGACCTTGTTAGGGTAAATGTGTTTCTTATAGTCCAAAATTGTGAAGAAAGTTGCCAGTAAACCACTTTTTTTTAAAATTGACTTTAAACACCAGTGTCTTTACTAAAATTTTGAATTGCTTTTGAAAAACACATCACAATGCTTTTCGTTTCCCTTGTCACCCCTTTTTCTGCAGCAGTTCCTGACCATTTCAAGGATGCCCATCCTCAAGGCTGATAACTTTTCAGTTCAATTCTCATTGTAGGTCTATACTACACTCCACTGTATGTTGTTGGATTTTGTATTTGCCTTTGTTTTCAGAACTGACATATATTACTTTTATTCCCATTACCAGTAAATTATCAATTGTTATAAGATTGACAGGGAACGAAAGGGATTGATTAAAATAAAACGACAAATCAATTGAAAATATTTACTTTGGTAAAGTGGCAAGCTGAAGCATTACAATGGAGAAAAGATGGACAAATATTCAGCCATCATATGTTTGTGTTTTCACTAAAACTTCATTGTGTTGTCATTTAGTCGTCTTGAAAGTTTGATGTAAATTGGTCTGTGATCGTAATGTCAATACAACCTCAATAACACTCGGCCATGTTTTAATAGCTTTCTCTGTTGACTTTGTCAATTTTCATGGCTTTTATTTTAATAGATCCGAAAATTTCTCCCACTTTTGTTTTCCTTAAATAAATTCTCAATTAAACTTGTTTCAACTTGAAAGTGTGAGAAAAATCATTGAAATGAAGATCAGTTATTGAGTAACACACATATTTCAATTGAAACAAAAGTCAAAGAAATTGCCTTAACAAAATATTAAGAATTTAGTTTGTGAATACTAACTGGAATCTTCTGTGAAGGGTACTTTGGTTGCATTTTGGAAGAATGAATGAACGAACGAACGAACGAACGAACGAACGAACGAACGAACGAACGAACGAACGAACGAACGAACGAACGAACGAACGAACGAACGAACGAACGAACGAACGAACGAACAGGCATTCATTTATTGAGTAATATACATATATCAAATTAAACAAAAAGTCAAAGAAATTGCTTACTTTTTTTTTTTTTATTAATACTTAACATCTGAAATCAGGTTTCCAGTAGATGTAATAATTCTTTGTAATATGTCATGACTTATGCTAATCACTTATTTACTTATTTCTACTATGAATACAGGGTCCATACTTTGACTTTGATTGAAAAAAGGTTGAAAATTGTGCATTAATATCTAGTCCATATCATGAACAAACAAATGAATTTTTGACAAAATTAAAGTTTTAATTCCATGTGAATTGCCTGATATTTTAGTATTGTGCTTCGTGCATTGAACCTTTGGTAAATGATTT